TACATAAAAGATGTAAGATTTTTCTCTTGATGTCATGGGGATACTTAGGCATAATTTCTTCTTCTGGCCTGGAATTCTGTGGATTCCTAGTCTGCCAACTAAGGACTCCAGCTCAGGGAAATTGTCTTCTATTAATTTAATTATTAAGGTACCTCCAAAGTATTATAGTTTGAATGATAAATTAAAGAGATCATTCTATACATAGTGTCCACAAATCTCTAACCCCATAGCTGAACTATAATCAGTACATTGTTGTCCTCACTGGAGTGCTCCAAATTGGTTCTCCAGATTCTGGCCGATTCCACAGAGGAGAAAGTCTTTTGCTGCTTTTCTCTGTTATGGCATGAACAAAGTACTAGACTTCACTTCACCCAGCTGACTAAAAGTATACTTGGAAATTGAGAGAAAAATAAAAACAGGTTTTGTTGTTGTTTGGGGGGTAGAGTAGGAAGAAAATGTTAAAGTATTATGACATCAATTCCAGCCTTGCTGCTTCGAAGCTATAACTGGAACTTGCAAGGCAGAAGCAGTGGCTCAAACTAGCAACATTTCTCACCTGAACACTGTAGTCTGATCATTCCAATTTTTAGTAACAAGAGAATGGAACAAATTATCGGTGATATTCCAACTTTCCTTTTTCCAAAGGATGGTTTTCTTTACTTTCGTTTCCTCTAACTTTCCCCTTTTCCCCTTTCCTCTCTCCTTTCAGCCTTCTTTCTTTATAAAGAGTATACAATAAATCAGAAAATCTGCAAGGCAAAAAGTTTATTCATTGCTTATAACTATAAATTCAAAAGACTATTATTTCAAAATTTTCAATTTGTAGTATTTAATTTTTTATTCATTTTTGCCTTCCTCTTGACAGACTTAACTGTGTCATTAATTATCACATTTCTGACATGATTAGGAAAATGTAGTCACTGACTGAACAGCCACTTTCTGGAAACAATTTACACTAAGGAAGGAAGACCCAAATCTATGATTGTCTCCTTTTATTTCCACATCAGGAAAGTACCATGGCACTGATATATTAATATTTAACTGAAGTATAATGCAAATAAAATGTTTTAGCTACATTTCTCATGATTCTTCAACTAAATTAAACTTCTTTGCATTAAATATATTTTTGTTAGGGTGTTTATAGGCCATTGGTCTCTTACTAACTTATTCATTTGTCTTGGATATAAAGTTGAAATTGGTGACTTTGATTAAACTTTTAAAATATGAGATGACAGTGTTATTAATTGCTATTTATTTTTGTGAAATAAGGAGGGCATATTGCATCTGCTTCATTTTATTTCAGAGGATGTAGAATGAATACATTTTTTTAATTTGCTTATTCAAACATGCTTCCTATTTGGCTGCTGTGCAAAAGCAAGTAAAATGCCCACTTTAAGAATTATATATAGGATTCAAAAACTTGCAGGGCATCCAACTTGCAACATGAAGTTATCCTAGACTTTTATATCCTCACTAATGCCACTAAAATGCATCTTAAGCATTTTGCAACAGAATCCTGACAAAAGTATGTGAAGTCTTTGGTTTAAAGAGAAATGCCAACACTTAATTCAAATTTTTTCTGGTTCTCATTAACCTCCCGATTGATTTACTATGACATTTATTTCTGAATTTAGATTAAGCTCTGAAAACTTGTTGCATACATAGTACTACTTCCTTATCCCAGTTCTATTGTAAGCAGCATTTATTACAGCAATGATTCTTATGGCATTTAGACATTATTTCACATTCCTTCCCATTCAGCAACATACACACACAGTATCAATTTAACCCAGTGGGGATGGATACAATTATTTTTTACTCCATTTTTCAGTTGGTAGCTCATATCATTCTGGCACTTCACACACACACACACACACACACACACACACACACACTCCAAATGTCCATCTTATATGCTTATTAAAACTTTCACAAATGTTATTTGTAGGCATAATTTTCTAGGAAATATGTATTTATTAGTAAAATTGCAAGTTAAAATAACACATTCTCAAAAACATTATGGTTTGAATAACAGGAAGTTTACTCTCCCACCCCCCAATAATAATATAGAAGAAAGGGGTCCTGGGCCTTCAAGGAGCTTAAATTTCAAAAGGTTATCTGATGAGCCAAGGTTAGTGAGCTGGCAGGCTGGCTCTGATTTCAACATTTTGCTTCCCCCTCTGAGTACGAGGGAGCAGTCTTGTTATCTCATAACCAGCAGGAAGGGTGGGAGAGGATGCATTCCTGGGTATCCTTAATGAGATAACCTAGAAGTTTCACATGTTGCTGTAGGGGAGGATGATAAGCTCTACTTTAGGTGGGCAACCATGTGCCCAGGTAAACTGGGGAAATCTCTTCCTAAGACTAATGGATGGATGTTAGGGATAATTAAAATTCTTGGACCCATGTTAGGAATAGTGGATTGATTATAATTGACATGTGGAGAAAGGTTTTTTATATCAGCAATCTTCTTCATAGACTTTTCTGGAAAGAGAATAATTACTATACTATATGTAGAAATGGATACACTTAAAATAAAGAGTAGTTGAAATTCTCCTGATACCCCCACATGTTGTTTTTGTTGTTATTTTATCCATTTTTGATAATGGGAATTGCATACTTCCAGATGCGTGCATGCACGCACACACACACACACACACACGATCTAAAAATCATTCTGTTTCTTCCCTTTCCTCTTCCTCTAAATCATATCCTTGAAAAATTCTTTGATAGATATTTCCCAAAGACATCCTGAATTTGTTCACTTCCTATATTATATTCCAAATGATTTTAGCACTCATGTAGCTATTATCACTTTTTAACGATCCCCAGTTAAGCACCAAGGTTGATATTTTTAAAAAAATATGCCACTCTACTTCTAATAAATCTCCAATAGCTTTCTATTTTTACAATTTGAATATTACCCAAACTCCTTATTATGACCATTTTCTCAGTCACATGCCAAATTTACCTTCAGTGGCATCTGGAATCACAATCTCACTTGCTCAATATATCCTAGTCTTGCTGGCCATCTATGTTTTGGCTGCCAAGGCAAACTTAGTCTACCCTCAGTGCCTTTATAATTGTGAATATTTCTGCCTGCATCATGCTTCTCCAAGAAATGTCTCTCCATGGCGAGGCCATGCTCGTTTTTCAGAATTCAACACAACTGTCATCTCTCAGATATTATTTTCCGACTAACCATTCTATTCACATTCATGTAGTTCCTATCCCACCATTACTCCTTTATGTGCATATAGAACAAATTGCTATGTAAAACATGTTCTAGTTACTGATTTTTTCCTCCCATAGAATGTAAATTCTATGAGAGAATAAGTAATATCTAATTCTTATGATTGTGTCCCCAGGTTCATAACAGTTCCTGGAACATGTTAGGTTTTAGGTTTTCAAGACATAATATTGATTGAATAACTTGATGTATCTATTCCTTTCAGTATCTCTTATTCCATGTAAATAACTCTCTAATGCTTATCAGCTTTTTCACTATTCAGGTTTCATGTTTAATCTGGAATTTCAACAAGGTAGCAGTTAATGTGAGCCAGCAGTGACTTTGGATCCTGATATTCCCTAATTTACCTCCCTCCTCATGGAATGAAGCCTGCTTTTGGTTGCATTCACTTAGGACTTCTGAGTACCCAAGTTTACTTGAAAAACTATTTAATAAAAAGTCAATATTATTAATTTCCCTCACATATGTGCAATATAAAAACATAATTAGATATAACACAAAAAACAGACTAATGTTTATATTTAACACTTTCCATAGTAATTTTCCTGCATTCATTAAATGTTCACCCAGTGTTGAATCATTAACCTGGCTACCAAAAATATTTAATTAACTCTTATCAGTAAGTAGACATATCTTTAATTTCCTCACTAGGGATATTTTTGCTAAGTCAATATTTCTTTCTTTTTTAAAAAATTATATTACATTTTTAACTTGGGAAAGAGCAAATAACACATGTTCACACATTTTTAGAAATAATAATAAGATCATTTTTTAAAATTTATTGGACTTCAATAAAAATATAGCATATCACATAAGATGCCTTTGTAATAAAATCTCCAACTCAGATTTGCTTAAACAATAAAGGAAAGTTGTTTACTTGTATAACACAGTTTCAGAAGAAAACTAACTCCAGTACTGATGTATTAGAGTTCTCACACTCTTCCCTTCAGTCCTTAGAGTATGACTACTCCCATGAGCTATTTTGGTCTCACATTATATAGACTTTAAAAAATGTCCAGACAAAGCAATATTATAACTTCCCCTTTGCTTTCTTTTTATTTATGACCATGAAATTAATTTATTAAAAATTCTCATAAGACTCCCCTGAGGTTATATTTGCCAGGAGGATTCCAATAGCTGATAAGGTAAATAGAATTTCTGTCCTATGGTTGGATTAGGTGAATCATTTATGGTCAAAGAGATCATATAAAATAAAACAAGTATTTTCTGGTATTTATGTATGCAATAAAGCAGTTTAAAATGCATATGGCATGTGAGAACAAATACAGAATATTATATTAAAATGTAGCTTTAGTATGTGGAATCTATAATACAATCATGATATCTGCATTCTAATGACTCTCAAATAAAAAGAATTGCTCTGCTACGGAGCATTTGGAGTATGAGGTGGGAGTATTTTTTTATTGTCAGAATACATTAAGGGTGACACTGGCATATTGTGGTCACATGGCATGGATGATGAATATGCTACAATGCACAGGTTATTCTTATACAATTAGACATGTTAAAAAATTGAACAGCTCATACTCTTGCAGAAAGATACATATAAACAGACATGTCAATATCAATATAACACATAAAGATGGAGGTAGATATGTAGATTCATAAATAGTCATACATATCACACTATAGATTATAAAAAATGAATAATTCATTCAACCATTCCTTTTGGTAATTTTAAACAGTACATGAGTCCTGTGCTTGGGGAAAGCAGCAATGTTAAGGAACATTACATGATTACATCTCGTTCCTTTTGGTCCATATCTCCATGCATGGCAGAGACAGTGAAGTCTCGGGAGTGCATCTTATCAGTGAGCCAATCAACCTTTCTTTGAGTGTTGATGAAGATGACTGCCTGGGTGATGGTGAGGGTTTCATATAAGTCACACAATGTGTCCAGCTTCCACTTCTCTCTTTCCATATTGATGTAGAATTGGCAGATACCCTCCAGAGTCAACTCTTCCTTCTTGACAAGCATCCGAATGGGGTCCCTCATGAACTTCTTGGTCACCTCAAGCACACCAGAAGGCATTGTAGCTGGCAGAAATACCACCTGGGTGTTGCTGTTGAGCTTTTGGAATATGTCATACCAGTAGATCTGGTCCTTGAACGCACGGCTTAACATTTCATCAGCTTCATCCAGTACAAACATCTTCATGTATTTGGGAGACAGATATCTGCGATTAAGCATGTCAAACACACATCCTAGGGTGCCCACGATGATATGGGGAGCTTCCATCTGCAGCTTATGCACCTCTGCACGCACATTGGTACCCTCAATGCAGCCATGGCAGGAGGCACCCATATAGTCTCCTAAAGCCATGACTACCTTATGTATCTGCTGTGCCAGTTCTCTAGTAGGTGCCAGGACCAAGGCCTGAGTAGCATTCAGATCCAATTCAATCTGTTGCAGAATCGATATGGCAAATATGTTTTCAGAAATGCCTTACTGAAAACAACCACCTCCTTCCATATGACATATAAGACTCACAGATGCCTTTCTTTCTTACCTATTAAAAGTTCATATATAGACTTTCCAAATTCCCATTCAGTGCTTCATTAATGATTAACTATTTGTACCCACTGAACAATCTGGGCAAAATACCTGTTAATATGACTTGACCAAGCTTTAAATTTCTCTCCTTTCTACAGGGCCCAGAACTTTCAACCATCATTAGCCTGTGCCAGTATTTGAATATGGACCAACTTGTCCTTAACAGCACCTCCTGAGAATATGGTGTAAAAAATGTGTTAAAAAATCCCAACTTGCCCTAACCGGTTTGGCTCAGAGCGTGGGCCTGCGGACTGAAAGGTCCCAGGTTCGATTCTGGTCAAGGGCATGTACCTTGGTTGCGGGCACATCCCCAGTAGGAGGTGTGCAGGAGGCAGCTGATTGATGTTTCTCTCCCATCAATGTTTCTACCCCTCTATCCGTCTCCACTCTCTATCCCTCTCCCTTACTCTCTGTAAAAAAACAATAAAATATATTTAAAAAAAAGAAAAGAAATCCAAACTCAACACTGAAGTCAGAAATCCATGAAGGGAGGGCTCTCACATATCACTTATCACAGCAACATAGTGCAGCAAGAAGAAGAAATATTTCCTCTCTATTGGCAACAAGCTGTCCTTGCCTGCAACCAATGAGAAACTGCTACCTACCAATTGCAACTCTCGTATTCCTCCCCATTATTTTGAACTTTTGTTCAAAATAATTTATCCTAACTTCTTGCTTTCTTCCATAAAAAAAACATTCTTTTCCTTTATTCCTGGACCACAAGTTAACCATATTTTACCTGCTCTAGTTTCCAAATGCACTAGACTTTACTGGCTGAATTACTTACCATTTATTAAAATTTGGCATAATGATTTAAACACCTCCCCAATTACTTGCATTATATAAATGTTTAACATTTTATATGTAAAGCAACATAGAGAATCAACAAATAGAGTTTGGCAGAAGTGATTGGGATTAATGCTTGTCTGAAAACAAATCAAGGCAGGCCCATCGTTTATTATGTACGTAGTTCCTTCTGAGGAAAAAAATGGTTAAATAATGCATTTTTTAAACTGATACAGACAATTTAATCTGAAAAAGTTTAGGACACACTATTCTGTGCATCAAGTAATATCAAAATTAGGGTACAGACCAGCTGGAGTGGCTCAGTGGTTGAGTGTCAACCCATGAACCAGGAGGTCATGGTTCCATTCCTGATCAAGACACATGCCCAGGTTGCAGGCTCCATCCCCAGTGGGGGCAATTCAGGAGGCAGCTAATCAATTCTCTCCAATCACTGATATTGCTATCTCTCTCTCTCTCTCCTCTCTCTGAAATCAATAAAAACATATTTTTAAAAAGTATATAGGGTACATACTTGACCAGCTATCAGAGCAGAATAGAAACTCCTGCTCTGAGCCAAATTCTTTTTTTAAAATTTATCATTATTATTGAAAGTATTACTGATGTCCCTTTTTCCCCCATTAAGCCCTTCTAGCCCACACATGCCCCCAACCCCAGGCCTTCACCATGCTATTATCTGTGTCCATGGTTTATGCACATATGCATATAAAGTCTTCGGTTAATCTCTCCCCACCCTCCCACCTATCCCCACCTTTCCTCTGAGATTCCACAGTCCATGTCAAATTCTTTCTCAGAATTTTGTTTTCCTTTCAGGTGGAAGCCTAGCTCCTTATATAACATTTGTAATGAATTGAAATTAGAAGGTCAAATACTTATTTGCGTAATTGTTGACATAGCATTATTTAGCTCTGATTTTTACTATAAAATTATATCTGGTGTTGCTGCTAGGTCACCTCACCTCTTTTCTCCTTTAATCAAATAACGTCTGCTCATAATGAGGCTGTAAATCCTTCAATTTCCGATTTTGCTGGAGTTTTTATTTTCTTTATATAAAATGTGCTGTGTCTTCAATAATATCCTGCATGTTCACTAAAAATCAATGATTTAAATAATAATGTATTTTAATATAGATATAACCATTAATTGCCTTTTTAAAAATAAATGTATACCCATCCTAAGCATTGAGAAAGATCACCTACTCCATGTGAAAGCTTACAGACTATAACAATTTATGCTAAAAACTTGAAATACCTACTTTAATAAACAATATTGAAAGTGATATCCACCAAATTTGGTCAAGTCTTGTGACTCCCAGAATGGTTTTTCCACTTCCATTCACACTAGAAAGTATGCAGTAACATATTGGTCTATTGTCCACATTCAATAAAATTGAGTGATTACAATACATACATAACATAGTTTAATATAAAAGTATTTTAATAAACAGTTTTGATTTTTTAAAAATATCTTAACCTGCCCATACTATTGTTACAAATAGGCTTCCAGCCTAGCTGGTGGGGCTCAGTGGTTGAGTGTGAGACCATGAACCAGGAGGTCATGGTTCAATTCCCAATCAGGGCAGATTCCTGGGTTGTGGGCTCGATCCCCAGTGGGGGGCATGCAGGAGGCAGCTGATTGATATTTCTCTCTCATCAATGTTTCTAACTCTCTCTGTCCCCCCCTCTCTCTAAAATCAAAAAAATATGTTTAAAAAAATTAGGCTTCCAAAGTCCCAGTGAAATACACAATTCTTTCCCTCTCCAACAATTGGAGAATTGCAAATTGGAGGTGAAAAAGCTAAAATAAAACCTAAATGCTCTGCTATCTTTCTTCCTAAATTTAAACTCCTTAACTTTGTCACTTTTGAGCTTCAAGTTATTAGATAATGAGACAGGAAACATAAAAAAGAGCTCAGTGAACTTGACAGACCCACAGGGCACAACTAAAAAGTGTGCTGCCTTTATCCCCTCATTTTTTCTATCAAATTAACACTGTTCCTCTGCAATTTTTTTTTTTTTTGCAACTCCTGCCTGAAAGAGATAGTGTCTCTCTTTCCATTTATCACAGTTTTCAGATCCTACTAACTTTAGTAATTTTTCTGTTCTAATTAGTTTAATTTTTAAATCATTATTCTAACAGTTTTATATTTCTATAGAAGACCTTTAATTTTATACAATTCCTCTCCATCCCAAGATTCCTTCATAGGGATATTGAGTTGAGCTAAGTATGACATAAAGCCAACTGGTCAAAGACTTGAAAAAATATTTGTTGGATATAAAAAGGAATTAAATTTTAAAATGTAATAACTGTAAGCACTAAAATATTATATAGTGAGCAACTTATATTATCAATTTATAACACTACAGATCACAGCCTAAACCAAGATTTTAAAATATGTTCAAAATGCTAAATGTGTCATTGGTATCTCAAATTTTAGACCATTATATTAGAAGGTATTGATTAATGGTTAACCTCACTTCAGGCTATATACAAATAAGGCTATATACAAATAAACTAAATGAATTGAGGATCTTCAAATTATACAGCAATATACATTTTCAATTCTAAGCCTATTTATAGTAGGAGTAAATTACAGTGACTGTGACACCAAAAAGCAAAAGTTAAAAAAATAATTGCTACTAACCATAAATAATGAAGCAATACTATGCAGATAAATATGCATAAGTGTGTAAGTCTGTGTATATATTTTCATATTTTCTCTTCCCTTTTTGGGGGATAGTGGATGACAAAATAGGAATGATTTTCTTTTCTTTACTATTCTGACACTCCCTAAAAGTTCACCATATGCCTAATGATGTGATTATTTAATAAGTGTACCCTCAGTGCATTAAACACTGGCTAAATGTAATTTAACAAAATATCTTTAAGAGAAAATACTTTCATTTAATTGCCATGATTTTTTAGTCATTTGTTTTATTCTAGCAAGAGTAAATTAAAACCTATAATGATTGGAGAAATAATAAAAATTAAGTGTATATGTGTGGACGTAATGTATACGTTCAGGGAATACCATATTTTTCCATGTATAAGATGCCCCTGCTTTTCCAACCCAAAATTAAGAAATCAATATTTTAAACATAAAACAGAACACATTTTTTATTTAGTAATTACTGCAGGTAATGTTTACATATCAGTACTATGATATTATGCAGCATATCACTTTATTCAGCCTCTGTTGCATCACTGCTCTCTTCTTCATCACTATTAGTTCCAGACATATCAATTTCTTCAACTCCTATTGTATCACTGCTGTGTTCTGGGTCACTGTCTATATATGTGAGATCATCCTCATAAAGTGGTGGCATTTTCTGAGCTAACTTTGTTCCTGTTCTCATGGCCAACCCTTCTCTCCTCATGTAATTGAAGTACCATTTTGCCTTTCCTGTAAAATCAACAATGTTCATTTCACTTGCAAACATTCTTGCCTGACATTAAATAAACTTTGTTGACACACATAAACCCCTCTGAAACGGCTCCATTGTCCAAGTCTTAAGCCTCTGCTCCAAGTTTGCCCATTTTGCTGGTTTTCCTCTTAAGGCCTTCTTCTTTTTTGGCACCTTAAGGAGTTCTTCTTCCTGTTTTCTCTACTGTCTGATCATACACTCAGTGGGAGGAGGTCCAAATTTTCTCTCTGCAGCTCTATTTCTTGCTCTTTTGCATAGCTGATTACATTCAGTTTGAATTTTGCAGAGTAAGACAATCGCTTACAGGTATTTATCTTTTTATTTTTTGACATCTTTATGGTCTCAGAACGCTCTGGTCTCTCTTGAATCTGCACACTCTCCACCTCCACCTCCAATTATGGCATCAGCTGATGTCAGTAACAATAAGACTTGTGGTTGGAGGAAGCCTGTTTGACAAGGTATGGGCAGCTATGCACCCTACAGCTCCCTCCTCGGTTAACTTCCCTGTATAAGACACCCCTCGATTTTCAGTCTAACAATTTTAGAAAAATATAGTTTCTTATACACAGAAAAATATGGCAAATGATGAAAATAATAGAAGACAGAAAACACATTTAATTTGTTAGTAAGGATCATTAAGAAATCTTGAAATTAATATATACTTATATTACCAGTAAGTCTATTGGTGAAATAGCTACATATAACTGATTTCACTATTTTATTTTTCCTTATAATAAAATTGATATGTGATATCATATTCAGTATAATAGGATATAGATATATTGATAGATAAATGATATAGATAGATAAATTAATCACTACTTATTACTTCAGTGCCTTCCTTATATTAAAATATTAAGAGTAAAATCCAATTTAAATTTATAATTTA